TGTAGAAGAAGATTCTATGTTAGATGCAGTGAGTCGTACGAAGCATCTATAGCTAGTGTAGAGTAATTCAAGTTTTCATATGTGATGTTCGCGATGCCAAGAAAAAGTGGCACACTCGGTGGGGTGGCACTCTCGGTGGTGGAATACGTTATATTATATAAAGTTTAGTTAAAGCTTACTAATAGATATTACTATTATTATAACTTAATACTTATTATTTATAACTATATTTTATATTTTTAAAATACTTTTTAGATATATTATGCTAAGGCACAGGGTCACTATAACCCTTATGCTAACTAAGCACTACTTACCTTTAAAAAGGAATATAAATTAGTAGTTAAGTCTATAAGAAAAATTAATTAATAATATCTCTCAGAAAAATCTCTTACTTAAAAAACTAACTACTTATATTTTACTTCCTCTTCTCTCTCTTATAGCCTATAGGAAGAGAAAGAGCCTCTAATTCTATTTCCTTTACTAAGAAGATATTATAGTTCTATATAACACCTCTATAAATAGTAAAGCCTAAGAGGCTACTTTTAACTTTTTAGTAGATAGAATCTGTAATGGGCGGGCCCAACGGGCCGAGCGTACGACTACTTACGCCATCCATAGCCAAAAAGGCAGTAACAAGACTTCAAGCTTCTTGAAGTCCAGGTAGTCGTATAGATATACTCGCTTAGAAGCTAAGATGTACATACGTAGGCGTAGCCTCTTACAGAATCGCTAATATATACTAATAGCAAAAATAAAGAAAATAGTAATACTGTAAGCCCAGAAGTACCATGTATGGTCACGTGGTTGCCCACTGACTAATAACACCGTATTTAAACTTGCTCCTATCATGATACACATCAGAATACACAATACTTCCTACACCCTCAACTGCTTACAGTTATGAGCCCGGCCTAATCCGCATATTACTGCAATCAATTAACTACCTACCTACCTATACCATTATGTCGGCGCACACTATTCATTTAGATATTATCCTTCAAGGACAAAGCAACTAGGAGCTTTGGTTCTTTATCGTCAAGCGTATTGCCGAAGCAGGAGACGTATGGGAATACATTGATCCCAACAAACCATCTAATCCTCTGCAAAAGCCTGTTCAGCCTACTAGGCCAGCGCCTATCACCAATGTCGACGGATCACCTGCAACTCTACCATCTTAGCAAGACTTACTGCAGTACAACCAGGATCGCAGTAGCTACTACAAAGAAATAAAAGAATATAGACGTCTTCGAGATAAGTTAGGCCAAGTAGAAGCGCATATCACTAAGACTATACAACAGGAACTACTATATCACATTAAAGACAAGACAACAGTCCACGATCAAATCAAGACGCTCCAAGATCTCTTCTCTCCCACTACGTCCGATATGGAATATCGAGTGCAGAAGGACTACGAAGCGGCCAAGATTCTACATGCTCGACGATCAAATGTTGAAGACTGGTGCAACGAGTTT